ATGTGTAGAAGTTGTCTTTGGTCTGGAGTTGGGAAGGTAACTAGGAAAGCTCTAATAGCATGGGAAAGAGTTTGTAGGCCAAAAAATGAAGGTGGTATGGGGCTGATAAACATGCAACTATGGAATAGAGCTGCAATAGCCAAACTTTGTTGGGATTTGGCAAACAAGGAAGACAAACTGTGGATCAAATGGATACATGTATATTACATGAGAGGGCAGAATGATTGGCAGAAGAGAGAGCAGGCTAGTTGGATGATCAGGAAGATAATGCAGGCTAAACAAATAGTTGATCAAGTTCACATAAAAGATGGAAAAGGAATGGTTAAACAAATCTATGATTACTTGAGAGGGGAACAACCTAAACCTGTGTGGAAATGTCTAACGTTCAAGAATACAGCAAGGCCAAAAGTTATCTTTATTCTATGGATACTGATGTATAGAAAGTTAGCAACAGTTGATAGGCTTGCTAAATGGAGGTTAACACATGATACAACTTGTGTACTGTGTACAAATATGGATGAAAGTCTGGACCACATGTTCTTACAGTGTCACTATGTAGAGGAAGTATGGGAAAGAGTATTAGCATGGGCTGGTTTCCACAACAACAGAGCAAAGACATGGACACAGTTTGTGCATTGGTGTATACAACATGGGAAATGGAAGTCTACAAGAGCTCAATTATTCAAGATGATCTTAGCTGAAGTTGTGAATGCTGTTTGGAATGAGGAAACACGAGAATTTTTGAAGACAAGAAGAGTTTGAGAGATGAGGTAGTTAAGAAGATAGCCTATGTAACTATTGCAAGAACTCCTATTAGCATTAGCAAGATAATTAGTCATAGGAAGGTTTGATGTTTAGTTAGTAGTGTTGGAGTCTTTATGTGTTGATTTCTTTTCCTGATGTTTAAGAATGCTGTGCTAGCTGCTTGGTTTGTAAAGTTGTTTTCGGTAATTAATGAAATGGTTACCACAAAAAAAATAACAATAACAATAATAATAATAATAACAATAATAATAATAATAATAATAATAATAATAATAATAATAATAAGAAGAAGAAGAAGAAGAATACTAATAATAATAATAATAATAATAATGACAACAACAACAACAACAACAACAACAACAATAATAATAGAAATAACAATAATAGTAGTAGTAGTAGTAGTAATAACAACAACAATAATAATAATAACAATAATAATAACAACAACAACAACAACAACAACAACAACAACAACAACAATAATAATAATAATAATAATAATAATAATAACAATAACAACAACAACAACAACAACAACAACAACAACAACAACAATAATAATAATAATAATAATAATAATAATAATAATAATGATAATAATAATAATAATAATAATATTAATAATAATATTAATAATAATAATAATATCAATAATAATAATAATAATAATTATTATTATTATAATAATAGTAATAATAATAATAGTACTAATAATAATAATAATAATAATAGTAATAATAATTATAATAATGATAATGATAATAATAGTACTAATAATAACAATAACAATAATAATAATAATAATAATAATAATAATAATAATAATAATAATGACATTAATAAAAATAATAATGACAACAACAACAACAACAATAATAATAATAATAATATTAATAATAATAATAATAATAATAATAGTAATAATAATAATAATAATAATAATAGTAATAATAATAATAATAATAATAATAATAACAACAACAACAACAATAACAATAATAATAATAAAATAATAATAATAATAATAATAATAATAACAATAATAATAACAATAATAATAATAATAACGATAATAATAATATTAATAATAATAATAATATTAATAATGATAATAATATATTAATAATAATAATTATAATAATAATAGTACTAATAATAATAGTAATTACAATAATAGTAATAATAATAATAATAATAATAATAACAACAATAATAATAACAACAATAATATTGAGAATGATAATAATAACAATAATAATGATGATGATGATGATAATAATAATAATAATAATAATAATAATAATATTAATAATAATAATAATAATAATAATAACAATAATAGTAAAATAACAATATTAATAATAATAAATAATAAAAGAACCTTCTCTCCAGGATGCTCTCAGCGTAGGTTAGTTAACCTGCGCAGTGAAAGAGAAAAATTGCGAGGGGAAGGGGACGAGGACGTGGAAGAGGCCGGAAAATGTCAATAATGACAGTTGGTAGCTCAGTTGGAGGTCAGGTGGAAGCATTAGTGGTAAACAATCAGCAACAAGCTCAAAGTGCAGGACAGAACTATGAAGAAGGAGTGACTGAGAGTTCTAAAATAGCTAGGCGATTGAGCTTAAATTCTGTAGTGGAAGAAGAGGAAGCTTATGAGAACTCAGATCTAGTGCAAATAGCAGCTGAGAATAAGAAGGAAAGCAATGGAACAGTAACTAAGAAGCAAGATGGAAACACTGTAGATGATGAGAGTGATGGAATAAGAGGAGAAGAGGTGAGCAAGGATAAGGAACCCTGGGTTAATATGTTTAAGAACAACCGTGCAGCTAACAATGGTATGAAGCTGACATATTTCCCTCCACAAATAGTTAATGGAGAAACAATGGTTCAGCTGGAAGGGAAAGAAGTTCAGGATGAGGAAGCAAAGTGGAAGTGTGCACTCATAGCTTAAGGCTTGAACACCGGTGGAGCTAGATTTTGCTTAAAGGGTCAAATTCGGCAACCTCTACCCGAATTGCCCCTCCACGATTTTAATTAATTAATTAATTAATTAAATATTTAGGTTAAATTACAATACTACCCTTATCCTGAAAAAGACCATTTTACCCCTAGACCCTCCAATCTTAAGATTACCCCCTTTTAAGTCTGGTTAAGACTCAATTGAGTAAAGCTTCATATTCGAGTGCCCTATATGGATGGACCCTATATTTCCTAGCTCAACTAACTCACCAAGTTAGTTGGCTTGGTTGTTGTAGAGGTTCAGAGCTCTGGTTTTACGCGCATCAATTCGTGTGAATCCGGTCTAATCAGGCATTCTACATACATTAGGCATTACTTAGCATAGTCATTTTAGGGTTGTTACATTATCTCCACCTTTGGAACATTCGTCCCCGAATGAAACTACACATCATTGTAAAATAAAGAGGGTTATTTTCAAAAATATTTTAACATAGCTGAGAATTTGCTCTTTGTGAATTTCTGTTTCACACTTACTCTGGATAATGCATATTAATCAAGATTATCTGAAGCTTCATATTTGAGATTGAGGAACTTCCTTCTCAATCGCAGTAAACTTGATGCACCTCACAACTCATGCAACACACAAAAAAATCATGTCCACGCTATACAAAAACAACAACATGATATGCAAACATGAATTCATTTTACCTAACATAGTGCAATTATTACACATACAATTTTTGGACTTACAACACCAAGTTGACTATTGCAGTAAAATTTAGAGTTTCTTAAACAAAACCAGCCTTAGTAGGAGTATATCTAACCCCTTAAATAAAATCTTGTTGGCCTTAAGATTTGAAATTATATGGCTTTGTTGGATTGATCTGCGCCCTGCCCGTTTATACCCTATCTCATTTGGCAACTGAAATCTCACTACCCTGATTTGATAGTCTATGGTATCATAACACTTATGGAGAAAATCCATACCTATGCTACTCAATGCTTTTTGTTGGTGAATATCTGATTCACATATTAGTAGGTTGGTGCACATCCTTGAAACCTACTAGCAGCTTCACATTAATAGACTAAGGAACTCCTTCCTAAACTTGTCTCATCAAAGCATGCAACATAAATAAACACATAAGTCACATAAGTCAGCAACCAACATGATGACTCCAACATATTAACTTCATACTAGTGCATAAAACTATACACATGAAAAACTAATTTAGGCTACGCACCGGAGACATCAACAGAAGTGTCTTCCCGTACTCCCCCAGACTTGAGTGTGAAGAATCGTTGCCTCGTTGGAGCCTCTTCACTTGTACCATTCAGTTGAACTTTATCCTTCCTTTTTTCTCGACCTCTCATATACAGACAATCATTTATCATGTGACCCGGCTTGCTACAACTGTAACAAGCGTTAGAGCCCCTCCTACACTTTTCTCCATGAAGTTTGCCACATTTCCTACAACGAGGCCTCTCCTGAGGTGCATCTACTTCACTGTTTCTCTTGACTCCGGGCTCAGAATCCCTATCATAGCGACCCTTGAATGAACTTGACTCCCCTTGGTGCGAGAGTCCCTTTATAAACCTGGGCTTATCTTTGATTTCAGTTCTACTCTTCCTTGAAAAATTCTCCTCATCTTGCCTTGACCTGTTCCCTACCCTAGTGTGCTTCCTCTTCCTGCTTTTTTCCACTTGTTGGACATGTACCATAATCCTGGAAAGTCCCATGTTGGAATGCAACATAGCTACCCTACACTCCTACTCGAGATTCTCAGCAATCATCAATCTAGTGTAAATGTGAGGATTCATCCTTGTGAAGTCCCTTAACCTACTAGCCATGATGCTTGCAGGTGGGTTCTTCCTGGGAACACCTTGTTGCTCTGCCTTGGCTGTCATAGCCTGAGCTCGTAAAGTGATGGCTTGGGACATCTCTACCAATGATTTCCTCACTTCTCCATGTAGCAACCCAGTTGGGTTAACATGCATCTCCATTCCAGCAGGTGGAGCCTGGGAAGGAACTTGATTTACCCCAGCAGCTGCTCCTCCAATCTCTCCGCCTGCGTTTTCCCTCGTATTCATCTTTTTGAATCTCAAGAGTTGATGTTAGATACGCTCTTAACACCAAGAAATTAGACATGAGAGAAGGCGTGATAAGATCAGAAGAAGGGAATTTTCCTATGCATCATGCAGTATCTAAATCAGGATAGTGGTGCACTTCACTACCATGACTTAGAAACTACTCGATGTGAATTTATTATCCTCGGAGTTTAACCTGACGCTCTGATACAAACTTTGTCACGACCTGAATCTAGACCCCAGATGAGACCGGCGTCATTGACCTCTCAAAGGTCGTAGACAAGCCTACATACGTCATCGTTACATCATCTAGGTTAATTTTCGCGGAAAATTTGAAACTTTAGTTACTTGAAATATATATAGAATTCATAGTTGGATACGTTATACTCATATAAGATTTATCTACATCAGTTCATAATCTTTCACAACAACCATCTAATACCAAGATACTCAATTGAATGAAAAAGTCATATTTGCATAAAATATAAACTTGCCAGAATGGCACCAATACAATGTCTGAAAATAATTAAGAAATAAATGCTAGTGGAACATACTCCACTAGCTAAAGCCTACATCTAATCTAGAATATAAAGGGCAAGCGTCCTCGAAAGCATGAGGTACTACCAAGTTCGGATGAATGCTCCACGTCCGGATAACTTCAACATCGTCTCGTAAACTCTAGCGTCCACTTGTGTCTGCACCTAAATATAAAGAGTTGTATGGAATTAGTACACATTTGTACTAAGCATAAGTATATACAAGCACACACAAAGGACATGCATGATTAATAAGAGTTCTCGCCTAACGATATGAGTTATGGAAAGTCAAGTTAGTGGACTTGCCAAAATCGGATTAGGAAAGTCATGCCATCAGAGTAACATGAATCATCATATGTATCTTATTGCACACAACACATAACATATTGCATATAATACATAAAATATTGCATATAG